GGGGGAGGGAGGTAAACATTTGTAAAAGTTTTTTTTTCAAAATTTTCAATAAAAAAAGAAATAATGTTTGGTTTTAATTCTCCAATGAATCAAAAGGAATGTTTCACGCTTCCTTGTTACACAGCATTTGTTTTAGCTTTCCATAGCTCTTCCAAAAACCAACCAAGGAAGATAAAACCACAGAAATCTAATACTGTTGTGCATGGCTTTGCACTAAATTATCTGTATAGTAAGCCAAAAATAGTTTAAGATTTATAATTAGGACACCTGTTTCCCCCATTAACATGCAAAAACATTTTTCTTGTTCAGAGACTGCATGAGAGATTTCCCAGTCCTTGCAGAATATCACATTACATCCACATAAAGGGAGCAGCAACTCCTCTATGAATGGCGGGGGGAAGTTCGGCTTCTCTCTGCCATTTAAAGGCTGCAGCAGGGAGAATCCCAACTTTTTTCCTCTCCCTCCAATCACAGAGGAGCTGTGGCTCCCTTTATGCTCCCTCTGGCCCCCACTTTCCCGGGGGTCGAAACACCTGAAAGGGACAGGCAGGCTGCCAAAGCTTCACTGAGAAGACATTTCTGAGAAGAGAAACTTCTTGGGTGCAGTTGCTGGTGGAGCACCCGTGCGATCGGAGCAACTGTGCGGCTCACTTGCACTGGCTGTCTGCCTCGCAACAGGCGGGCGGTTGCGAGCACTCCACCAGCTCGGGTGCAGCTGGACCGGAGAAGTTTCTCTTCTCACAAATGACTTCTCAAGTGAAGCTGTGGGGCTTGGGTTTCCAGCCCGACAGCCCTGCCACTTCTGGACGTCTATAGCAGTTGCGAGGAGCCAAGAAGAGCGCAAAAGTTCTCAGTACTCTGAGAAGCTGCGAAAGCAGCTGGGAGAGGCATGCTGCTTGGTTTTAGCCTCCCTGGACATCGCAGCAGCACCCCTAAGTGTGCCGATCTTGGCGTTTTTCACATTGGGGCATACTGCAAGAGGGAGGGAGTGAAGGCCTTTTCTGGCCAGCGCAAAGGACTTCCCCAGAGTTGCTTTGCTCAGCACGGGGTGACAGGCCTGCACCTCCACCACCAGCAATCCGGAAAAGGTCTTCACTCACTTTGCACTCTTCTCCGCGCTCTCCTCGGTTTCTCGCAACTGCAATAGATGTCCAGAAGTGGCGGGGGCTGTGGGGCTGGACACCCAAGCCCCATTAGCTCCAAACGCCACTTCTGGACATCTATTGGAGTCATGAGGAGTGCGCAGAGAAGAGTGCGAAGTCCAGTGGAGGCAGGAAGGTTCTCGGTGCTCCTGAGAACCTTCCTGCCTCCACTGGTTGCTGGTTGCCCAGCTGGCATGGCCCCGTGCATGTCTCCTCCTCCTCCCTCCTCTTCCTCTTCACTCCCCAAAGGCTCTTCTCCTCCTTATTGGAGCTCAGCGGGAGCCGGGCACAAGGGATGGGAGGAAAACCACACCTTGGTAAACTTTGCCGGGAAGGGAGGTGGGGAACCAGTGCGGGGGTGGATGCCCTGGAATGCCCCCATACTTTTCTGTGACCACGCCTCCTAGGGAAGTTCAGGGTGGTCCTAGGAGACCAGCTGCACCGCACAAGCTACCGCCCATGAACGGCAACAGAACAGGCGGGGGAAGTGAGCAAGGGGGCTGGGCAGGCGCTCCATGATGAACCTCTTCTAACCAGTTCGGTAAATTTGTGGAACCTCTTCTACCGAAGAGGTTAGAACCAGCAGAAACCCACCCCTGAATCTGTGTGATAGGGAGTTGTAATTCCATCAGATATACAGTATATGGAATTTTTACTAAACTAGCTTTAGATACAATCTCTCTTCCTAGAGGCTGTTAAACTACAAATCCCAGCATTCTCTTTTATTGACCATAAGAATGCAGATCATGGAAGCTAAAGCCACCGTAAGCAATGGAACAATATAATTCCTTTGCTTTTAATTTACTTCAGGATAAATTGTTGAATTCATGAATGGAATGTGTCAAGGATCCCCAAAACATTTCTAATTAATAATAAACCTAAAAATGTTTAAGAGCTACACTTGATTATGAGAATTAGTGATGAAAAAATTACCGTTTCTGTTTATTAGAAACTGAAGCTGATAACTTAGAAATCTTGTTTCTGTGTTGATGAATTTTCTTTGTATTGACCCTTTCCACTTATTTTGGATTACTCTACTCATCACTGTCAGATAATAATAATCACTAAGTATCGTAGCAATTGTAATGCAGAACACCTACAGAATATTAGTTTGGTTAAGATTGATCCAGGTATTAATTTTCTAGTGAAAATAATAACATTAATGTTGTATAATTTTGCTTTATATTTTTCCTTCTTCCTAGAAAGAATTCTGGGCAATCTATACAGGTAAGAGTTATTCATCTGAACACCAATTAGCCCATTCTGCCACAAATGCCTTCCTAAAATGTGTGCTAATGTTGAGTGCTTATTTTCACAGATCCTGATCAGTGTGAGTCCAACCCTTGCCAGAATGCTGGGACCTGTATTGATGAGTATCAAGACTACATTTGCATTTGTCCTCCAGAACATGAAGGCAGAAATTGTGAAATAGGTAAATGCTTACTAACTTGGGAAAAAATAATATAAGTGTTCTGCCCCTGAAGATTGGTCCTTATTCCATATTCTCTCAGCCATTCATTAAAAAATCCAGATATCAGAATATTTTAAAGCTGCAGTGGGGATATCCAGGTTTTAAGACCTGAAATGTCTTCTTTTCATAACACCATAATCTTCAGATCATTTTACTTTTGAGTCCTGTTGGAGACCTGTGCTTATGCAGATTTGCAGAGCTGTGCACTCCAAAACAAAGGTGATGCAAACTCATTAGCAAGCAGTATCCCTTACTTCTAAGGGAGCTCTATGAATACCAATCCCAATTAACTCTGTTCTTCCATTCTTCCTTAGAATATAGAATATGGAAAGTCCTGTTCCAGAATCTGACTTTTTAGCCTTCTTTGCCAGCGGCAACACTACCCCACAACACTTTCCTATCCAAATAAGGAAAATGTTAATTCACATCTTCTTCTCTATATTTAGGACCAGAAAGCAAGCTGAAATGCTTCTTTAAAAATGGCAATTGTGAGCAGTTTTGTGTAGATTCCCCAACCACATTAAGACAATGCTTTTGTGCAGATGGATACAGGCTAGGAAGTGATCAAGTATCCTGCATTGCAGAAGGTAAGAATGAGCCATCACACCATTGTGCGGCCATGATATTCCTTTCCAGAGAGATGCCAGAGCATAAACCAGTGTTTGTCAATCTTGGCAGCATTAAACTCCATGCACCTTAAAGTTACTAAGGTGGAGAAACACTGGTATAGATGATGCCTTTTTACTATTAATTGACATACAACTACAACTTTTTACTATTAATTGACATATAATGGTCCCAATGCTAGAATGAATTAAGTAGTCAGCCTTCCAACCTGTTCTAATTTTATCAGTCTCTGTATTGAAATACTGATCTCAAGATGGAAAGTAGGTTTGAATGTCAGTTGTTGAGCTGACATTCAAACCCTTGGCCAGGGCTCACTGTTAAGACATCTATTTGCACTGGGAGGGAAATACTTCATGCCATACCATGCTCTCATTCTTCATGGTTTCAGGTAAGCATCTTTCACCAACCAGGGGATGCCAGGGATTAAGTTGTGTTTCTGCCTGCATGAGGCAAAATTGGGTGGAGAGGGTGGTGGTGGGTGAGAATAAGACCTTTCTACAGTGAAGACAGTTGTCTTTTTAAAAAAGCATGATGCCTTCTTGGGGTCCAATTATAAAGGACGATAAATCGTTGGATTCCTAAGAGACATGCCTTGTTTTTATTGTAAACAACTTTATTTGCTCCTCAATTGTACCAACCAGTAGCATTGCTGGGAATTGCAATTCATTTCTCCCTCTACAAGAAAGAGCCTTGTTTGGGGAAGTTCATATCTCAGCGGTTTATTTCACTTTCCGATGTTTTCATCTAACCTGGAAATCTCAAACCTGTTTCAGAAGAAGGAAAAGGAGAAATTCACCATTGGCTATCATTAATTTTAATAATTATCAATGTATACTTCACATTGATTTTTAATTTGACAGAAAAGGAAAGAGAACAATTCACATGTGCACACTCATGTTGAACACTCTTAAGAGCATGAAATTATAGAAGGCGAACAGCAAATAGATGTTATTATTATACGTGAAATACGGCAATATTTATGTCGAGTGGGTCTACAGACATAGAGCTTTTGCTGTGTGTTTGTGTTTATGCCTATGTGTGTGTGTATGAATGCATATGGGTGAATGCCTGTGTAAATAAAGAAGTCTGTATATTTTGACTGTAAAAAGCTTTCACATTACTATAGTTCAAAATCTTATTGATTTGCTTGAAAATATTTAACGTGGTTTTGAAATACTATTCTGTCTGTAATATTATAGTTGATTATCCCTGTGGGAAAATACCTCTTCTGGCAAAAAGGCCAAATCCACAAGGAAGAATCATAGGTGGTTATGACTGTCCTCCAGGCGAATGTCCATGGCAAGTAAGTGCTTGTCAGAATTTAATACACTTTAAATTACAATAAGTTGAATCATTCACATATGTATAGGCAGTCACCCACTTTCATTGTACTTTGCAAGGTACATTAGGAAAATGTAGGTCAGATCATAAATTGACTATAGCCAAAAACAGATTTACAAATTACTGAAACTATGCAGAATGTTGTGATAGATAAGAGGCCTTTACTCAAGGGTGGGCTTCAAAGATTTCAGCAACTGGTTCTCTTCCTGAGTGCTGAGTGTGTATGGCTATGGTGGGCGTAGCCTAGTTAGCCTCTTGCACCACAGCTGAGGGGGTGGGGTTTGCCTTCCCAGGGCTCCGGAGGCTTTCCTTGAGCCTTCTGGGAGGGCGAAAACAGGCTCCCCCGGCTCTGGAGGCTTCTGGAATTTCCAGGAGGCCCGTTTTTCCCCTCTCCATGAGCCTCTCCATGGTCCCTACACTTACCTCACATCCAAAATGGGCTGCATGGAGACTCCTGGGAAGGGAAGGGATTAGATGGGATGTGCAGGGCCAGCCAGGTTTGGGAGGTTCTCTGAACTGGCCATAACATTAGCTACTGGTTCACCCCTGCCTTTCCTTTTCCTGACTTTTCTGCCATTGCCCCTTTTTTGAGTGCAGCCCTTGGCACACCACACAAAATTGCACGCCACACAAAAAAAGCCCTTAACCCCAAAATGCTTGCCCATCTGTGCTCTGGCCTGGATGATGCCAGCAAGATTACTGCTCCATAACATGCAACTAAACCGTATAATTTGATTATCAAATATTTAGGCTCTCATAACAGAATATGGAAATGAAAAATGTGGAGGTGTTCTGGTTGCTCCATCCTGGGTCATTTCAGCAGCTCACTGCTTTCATGATGTCCTCCGACAAAATCTCAGGATAAGACTTGGTAAGATGGTTTTGTTAATTTTCTATAACTCAGTGAAATTGAGGAGGGAAAATCACCGCACCACACAAGAAGGTCTGTCCCATTAATTTCACCTACATCTTTAAACATCTATTTTCATATCAATTCCTCCTTCACAAATGGCCGTCAACATGAACAGTTTGGCTCTGTGTGACTTCTTTGATCAGTTTCTATTCTGAAATTTAAAAAAGCATTCCAAAATAAGGAAGGAACAATGGAAACCTGAAACAAGTTCCTTTTCTCCCTTGTTCTTCATCCTAGGGTCACTAACATAAGTAAAGTGGTACCAATTTCAAAGCGCTACCTACACTGCAATCCCTGGAAAACTGGCAAGGAGGTTTTTAAAATAAACATTAAATATCATTATTATGATTCATTGCACAGTTAGCCAGATATTTAGATTAGTCCTTCCCAAGAACCTGGGAAAGGCAAGATGTGAATTTTTGATTCTATTAAAGGTATCATTGCAGAATGTAAGTTATTCTGAGTAAAGCTGCGTTTTGTGATTGACTGGTGGTGATTTTGTCAGTGCTGATGGTGTTCAAGTGATGCTCCAGATGTTTTAGGATTGCATCCAAGGTGCCTTATAACAATGGTAGAAACCTTAAGTCCAGTGATGGGTTCCTACCAGTTTGGACCAGTTCAGCCAAACCGGTAATAGCTTGGTGGCCTGGATCACTGGAACCCGCAATGACCCAGGCCTGCCACGCCCCCAAACCGGTTCTCCCAGAGAGAGTGCAGAGTAATTTTAGTTGTGTTATGCAGGTGCACGCAGTGCACATCAAGCATGTGTGATGCACCCCTGAGCGAACCAGCAGTAGCAGCTGCTGGAACTCACCTCTGCTTAAGTCCCATGACATGAGAGGATCAGCTATGTATGTAATTTTCAGCCAATGTCAGACAGATGTAAGCATAGCAAAGCAGCCACAGCAATAGATTCAGAGGTGGTCTTCAGCTGGTTTCAAACAGTTCACCCGAACCGGTGGCAGAAATTTTGCCCACTTCGGAGAACCAGTAGCGATGGCTGGCTGGCCACACCCCCTGAACCTGTCACTGAGTGCTCACCGCACTCATCTGGTCGCCACTTGCTTGCACAGCTCTTTTCATACCAGCTCTCAAAGAGGCTGGCAGCTGGCCGCTGAAAAGTCGTCTGGTTGGTGAAAAAGTGATTGCCCTCACCGCCATCTTCTTTGTGCATGCACAAAGAGGACTTGCAAGGCAATGGGATATGCATGTGCAAGAAGATGGCAGTGAGGGCAGCCACTTTTTTGCCAACCGGAGGACTTTTCAGCGGTCTGCAGTCAGCTGCTGGCCTCTTTGAGAGCTAGTATCAAAAAAAAGGAAGCGGCTGGAAGGCTTCTTTGCCAGCCAGTCACTTCCCAGCAATGGCGGCTGGCTGGGAGCCACCAAAAACTCCAGTCAGCTTGCCTTCTTGACTGGACCAGCCACCATGGAAGGTAAGCAACCAAAGAGGTGGTGGTGGTGGTGGAAGCAGGGAAATGGGGCCGACTAGCGAAGGGAGGGCAGGGGTAGATAGGGAAAAAATCCTAAATAAATTCCTACCTTTTCCTGTGGGTGTGGCTAGGTGGGGGGAATGTGACTGAGTGGGTGTGGGTATGAGTGATGTCACATTGGCCATGGCCACTCAGTCACATGGCCTCCCCCTAGCCACACTCACCGAACCAGTAGCAAAAAGCTTTGAATCCCACCACTGAATAGATTCATTTGAACACACATTGCAAACAAAAACTAAAGTACCAATTTGTTTCAAGGTCAAAACATAACTTTGCAATATGGCTATGTTTCAAACTTGCCACACTTGAAACAGCCATTTTGAACTGAGCAATGTTTTGTTCTGCACAGTTCTCAAAAATGAATCTTTAAAATCAGATTTTATGTTCCAGAAAGAATATCCTGATTCAGTAAACACTATCAGTTAGCAGTAATCCAGCACTAAAAGATTTTAAAAACTTTCCATGGAGAGAGAGAGAGAAAAAGAAATAAAATATTTCTATTGTAAAAAAGGAAGTAAATAAATAAAACGTTTTGTATTAATTAACTTCCAGAAAATGAAGAGATTAGTTAGGTTTTGTGCATCATGAAAAGGCCTGTTATCTTCTAAATAAATCAAGTATTCCTTTTTTTTCAGGTGAATACCATATCAACCATAGAGATGAAGGCGAACAAGAAAGAACAGTGGATGAATTAATAATCCATGAAAAGTATTCTCGGAAAACCATTGACAATGACATTGCTTTGCTAAGATTATCAGCCCCAGTCAACTTCTCTGAGTATGTGGTGCCCATCTGCTTGCCACCTCCTCGATTTGCAGCAGACATATTGAACTACGTTGAATACTCCACAGTGAGTGGGTGGGGGCGTCTTTTGGAAGGCGGAGCTACTTCAGCACTTCTTATGCGAGTGGAAGTCCCCAAAATACACAAAAAGGAATGTGTTCGGCACACTAACTTCAATATTACAAATAACATGTTCTGTGCAGGTTATCTTGATGGGAGTAAAGATTCTTGTGAAGGTGACAGTGGTGGACCTCATGTCACTGAATACAAAAATACTTGGTATCTAACGGGAATTGTGAGCTGGGGTAAAGGGTGTGCTGCAATAGGAACATATGGAGTTTATACAAAAGTTATGAAATACTATCAGTGGCTAAATAATCGTATGGATTCCTAATACATTTTGTTTCCAAATTGCCCTTTCATTGTCCAAATCCATAATATTTAATATTTGAATTTAGCTTTAAAATAGCTTATATATTTTAAATTAGATTCTACATTTTAAATCTGTAATAAAACTTCAATTAATTGCCATTAAATAATTTGAATGCTACAAACTTTCACAATACAGTGGTGCCTCAGTACTCAATTACTTCAAAACTTGTTGAATTTAGTACTTGACACATTTTGTCATAAAAATGTTGTCCTAATACTTGTTGTTTGTGTTTGGTAAACTCCCTGTTGGGAGAGCGAGTACGTTCAGCAAAGCGTTGTGAGAGTTGTGTTGGAGAACACACAAACCAGCATACAGAGACACTGCAGTTTAAATAGGCTTTTACTTTCATGGAAATAGAGATATCAGAGTCCATCAAACAGTCCAAGTCATACACGGATAAGTCAGTCAATCATCAATGCCTTTCAGTTA